ATATATATATATATGTATATATATTTGGCCAGGCGGTGGTGGTGCACGCTTTTAATCCCAGCACTCGGGAGGCAAAGGCAGGTGGATCTCTGTGAGTTCGAGACCAGCCTGGTCTATAGAGCTAGTTCCAGGACAGCCTCCAAAGCCACAGAGAAACCCTATCTTGAAAAAAACAAAACAAATCAACAACAACAAAAACAAAAACCAAAGTTGAAGTCTACTCTGGGCTACATATAAAGGTCAAAGTTGACCTGAGTTACATAGCAAGACCCTGTCTCAAAAAGAACAAGAACAAAAGAAAGAACTGTAAGCCTGGCATGATGGCTCAGGACTATAATCTCAGGCAGAAAGATTGTTTACAAGTTTTGAGCCCCACCTGGCCTGGTCTATATAGTGAGTCCCAGGCCAACCAAAGTTACAGTGAGAAGCTGTCCAACAAAACAAAAACCACTGAAGACATTTTTGATGACTTCTATTTGGTGTCAGAGCTGGGATGCAAACATCATCTCCCAGGCATGGAATTCCCTTCTCTGAGGGGGGAGTATGAGAATAGAGAGATTCTCTGCCAAGAATGGGGAATGGGGGTGAGGGGTTGCCTGGGCCACAGGGTAGGATAGAAGTGGTCAACGGCCACCCTGCAACTTTTTTTTTTTCTCGCCCTCGTACCAGGTGTGTCCCTGGAATCCTCCAACCTCTGCATGCCAGACTGTCCCCATCTCCTGGCCTTCCTGTCAGCCAGCAGGTACAGGTCCCTGGCAGAGTGGCAATGGGGACCCTTCCCTGAGGTCTCCTCCATACTGAGGCTTCCCTTTCTCCTCAGGGACGTTTTGCCAAGGACCCTGCTCTTGCCCACTCCAACCGTAGGTCCTGGAGACAAGGACACAGGTGAGGCGCGCTCCCCCAGGGGAGAGAGAGGTCAACTTGCTGGAATCTGGTCCTGAGAGACTGGAATTGTTAGGTGAAGCTAGGCTTGGGGCAAGTATGAGACGAAGCTGCGGTGGCTTGGGTGGTGGTGGCGGCGGCGGCGGCGGCGCACGCCTTTAATCCAAGCACTCGGGAGGCAGAGGCAAGCGGGTCTGTGAGTTCAAGGACAGCCTGGTCTACAGCGTGAGTTTCAGGACAGCCAGGGCTACACAGAGAGACCCTGTCTCAAAAAACCAAAAAGAAGAATGAGGAGGAGGAGGGGGAGAAGGAGGAGTTATAGTTGTGGCAGGAGGGAATAAGACCACGTCTAGGTCCTAACAGGATAGAGCTGGATGCCCTGAGATCTGGAACTGCATTCTTGTTCCCGAGTGAGGAAGGCTAGGGATGAAACCCCCCGGTTGCCCGCTTCACACCTGGGATTCCTTGTCTCTTCTGCTGGCCCTCAGATCCTGTGCGACTTGGCTGCATCCAGGTCAACACCTCAGGGAGGGTGCTGTCTGTAGTGAACCAGCTCTACCTGGACACGCATGGAGACTGGGGGACCCCCCTGGCTCCACAGCCATCGGAGCCAGCCACTGACCAGAAATACAGTCTAGGTTAGCTGGGCGGCGCCTGGGCACCCGAGGGATGAGGGGATGGATTAGAAGAGATCCAACCTGCTTCTCGCATCCAGCCCCTAGCAAGCCCACCCCACATCGGGTCTCCTGGGTGGAAGAGCCCCTGAAACCGGAAGTGCATCATCCTGGCCCAGACTCTCATCACCACCTGGACCCAGAAGCGTACCATCCTGGAGCAGACGCGCCCTCGCCTAGGCCTGCCCTAGTGAGCGTGGTGGAAGAGGAGGAGGAAGCGGACAGTGACAATTACAAAGAGGAAAGGGGGGAGGACCTGCTCACTGCCCACATCTGTGCTCTGGCCAGGGCCCGGAGCAGCTACGTGGCCAGGCAGTACCGAGGCCTTCGGGCACGCCTCACCTCGAATTCTGGAAATCCCTACAGGCCTGGGGACCCGGCCACCCAGCCACTTCAGGATGTGCGCCAGCTGCTCGCTGATCTCCAGGATTACCTGGCAAAGGACCCCGACGTCAGAGCAGTCTTTGGGAACAGGGAACCTAGGGTCCCTCGGGACGAGGATCTTGGTAACGAGAATCGGAGGGAAACTTCCCAAGGGATTGGGGGATGCCAC